CTGAACAACCTATCTGCAGAGACTCAGAACTCTAAATTCAAACCATGTTCTGTATCCTTTCTGAGAGTGTCTAGAGTGGAATTGGCTAATTGAGCCTCCTTTATTTTCAGGATTAACTCGGGTTGGACTGTTAAGTGAGCTAGACATGTGGCCTTTTCAAGTCTTAGAGTTGTATCTGCTGGGTTACCTTTATCATCCTGCACTCAAAGACCATGATATGAGCTAACATATCTGCATTCTTCCAGCTGAGAGCATCAGCTACCACATTATTCTTGCTAGGGTGGTACAAGATCTTACAATCGTAATTTTTAAGAAGTTATATCTAACACATGTAGAGATCCTTCTAGGTAAATATATGCTTTAGGCTCTTATGGTCCATATAAATTTCGAATGTTTTCCCATATAAGTAATGACGTTAGGTCTTCAATGGCTGGATAATGGCAACAAGCTCCAAGTCGTGGATGAGATAATTCTTTTCATGAACTTTCAAGTACCTAGACCCATAAGTTATGACTTTCCCGTGCTACATCAAAACGCAACTAAATCCTTAGTAGGATCCATCACTGTATACTGTATACCCACCTGTTCCATTCGGTAGAGCCAACACTGGTGCGGTAATTAGTTGTTCTTTAAGTTTTGTAAAGCTCTTCTCACATTCCTCATTCCACTCGAACTTGATATTTTTTTTCATAAGTCGTGTCAAGGAGGTTACTATACTTGAGAACCCTTCTAAAAACCTGTCATATCCCAGAAGCTTCTAATTTCCTTAACTAATGTCAACTGCTTCTAACCAATCATTGTATTAATCTTGTCCGAATTTGTAAATACTCCATCTTTTGATACCATGTGTCTTATAAAGGAAGTATGCTCAAGCCAAAATCAACACTTATTTAACTTTGTATATAGTTTCTTTTTTCTTAGAACCTGTAAGACCTGAGTTAGATATTGAGCGTGTTTCTCTTTCCTCTTAGAGTAAAATAAGATATCATCAATGAAAATTATGACAAATTGATCCAATAATGACCTGAAAATCCTGTTTATTAAATCCATAAAACTTGTAGGAGCATTAGTCAATCCGAATGGCATAACAAGGAACTCATAATACCCATATCGAGTCCTGAAGGCCATCTTAGAAATATCATCTGTTTTGATTTTCACCTGATGGTATCCTGAACGCAGGTCGATCTTGGAGAAAATTTGGGCACCTTGTAACTGATCAAAATGATCATTAATCCTAGGAATGAGGTACTTGTTCTTGATTGTGACCTTATTCAGTTCTTTAAAGTCTATACAAAACCTTAAGGACCCATCACTTTTTCTTGCGAACGTGACACCTGCACCCTAAGGGGATATGTTATGTCTGATGAACCTATTATCCTATAACTTTTTGATCTATTTTCTCAGTTCTTCTATTTTAACACGGCTCATTCGGTATGGGGCAACCAAGATAGGTTGGGTGCCAAGTTGAAGATCTATGGTAATTTTAACTTTTTGATTTACTAGTAGCCTTAAGAGTTCATCAAGGAACACGTCAGAAAAAGTTCAGACAATAAGGATACCTTGAATGCAAATATCTTTCTTAGGCTTGTCTAACGTAGAAAAGAATAGTTAAGTTAATTGCATTTAATAGATAATGTAGTTACTAGGTGTCAACTATATCTAAGATTTTATTAATTAGTGAAAAACTTTTCATTAAAAATGTTGAATACAAGCTCTTGTGATAATAATTCACCAAAGCGTAATACACTGCTAAATAATTCATCCCCAAAATTACTCAAAATCCCTCGTGTCAAGTGCTATCACATCTATGCTCAATTCCCTACCTGTTATCTCTATAATACAAGCTTTATATATAATATTCTCCAGTAATGTCATATTCCTAAATGTAGATACAAATAATATAGAATCAATACTTTCAGGTAACACATTTAAATTTTAGGTAAAAATATTTGAAACAAAAGAATGTGAAGCATCAATATCAATCAAAATATGTGCAAGATGATTGCAGATAGTATACGTATCCTATATCACATCCGGGTTGGCCTCAACATCTTGTTGGGTGAGTGTATAGACTATGCTCTGGACCGCAGATCTGGTCTAATTTTGATTCCACAGACACTCTATCACGTAGTACTGGACACTTCCGTATAAGTGGCAAGTGTTGTTGAGACGATAGTAAAGTCGGTCTCCATGATCCTTACCATAGTGCTGGTAAATCTTGCCACATCCTACTATCGAGGCCTGGGGAGGAGCCTGAGTTACAGTCCTTGGTATCTTGTTCTACTGGTTCAGTGCAATAGGTGTTGGCCTACAATGCAAAACTGGAGGCCTGGAGTTGCCCACTGCTGGGGAAAAAATGCGGAGGTTACTCTTTATCAATTGTGCCTCAGATAGGACCGCTAAATAAGTGTCATGCTCGAAGACATACAACTGTTGTCTGCTCTTAGGACGATGACCCCATTTAAACCTTCTTGCCTTCCTGTCTTCATCTGTCATGCTCTCATAGGAGTATTGTGTAAAGACCCGGAACTTAGAAAATGAAACAACCACCAATCGCCATCATCTCATTTCATATTTACATATCAATTTAACGATATTTAAGCAAATAATATAATTTTATACCTTAACAATTGAGAAACATAATTAACGCTTATTTCAAATCAGTCAATAAAAAAAAAATAACGATTATGCAATCAATAAAATGAAAAAACAATTAAAAGTAATAACTTAAAGTATACGGCAGAACAATAAATAATTTAGGTGGTATAGAAAAAATAAATAAGCAACATAGACAAGGTAGGGCAATCATACACTGACCAGTTCTGACTCTACTAGTGACCTGTAATTATTATTAGGATTTTTTTAATTTTCACAAAATATAAGATTATTGATTATTAAGCCTCAATTTATTATAACAGGAGATAGGGTGAGGGTTTCTTATCCAGATCGGTGTTCCAAATATCGTACTACCTACTATGCCTCCTAACAGTCCCTGAGTTTTTTGAATTTTTTTGAAAAAATTAAAATACCCATCACATACTTAAAAATACCTCAAAAGGCTAAAATCAATGTTGAAAAATATTTTTTGGCAAATTTTGGGGTTCTGGCACAACGCGAGTTTGCTTAGACTTAGCTATTTTCGATCATTTTAGGCCAATTTTACACGTATCCTTACAAAAAATATGTTAGAGAGCCTTGATTGGCCGAAAAAAGTCAAAAAACTAAAACTTACCAGCAGAGGGGTGGAGGGTCTCCGAGTGCGGGGCTCTGTCAGTCCTCCTTCGCAGCTAGGATTCCTCTTTGGCTAACCTATACCAAAAAAATACGGTGAACACGGTGGTTAAAGAATTGCATAAAATAGAAAACGAAAAGGGGGTCATCGAAGAGGGTTTTAGGTTTTGATCGCAGTAGTTTGGCCGAGCTTTACTCGCAGTTTTCGACTCACCCGTCGATCTTTTGGCTCCGATATGATCACAAAAAGACTCAAGATTGAATTCTAAGTGGGAAGGGGGGAAATTTTACCTTTCTCGGCAGTTGGTGGTGGCTCTGGTGCGACAGCAGCGGTGTCCCTCTGGGGGCTAGTCTTTCCTCCAGCTGCCTCCTTCTTTTTCTTCTCCAGCTGGGTGTTAGCTACAGTTTAGGGCCAACTGAAGAGAAGTTTAAATACCTTTCTTCCCACTTATCTGGGCTGTCCATCTGCGTCGATGTGAAGTGAGAAAAGTCGTCCGATCATTATCTGTTTAGACTGATTGCGTGGGCGAATCTGGACCGTTCATTGTAATTGATCTCGTCTGTGTGATCGCGTTTAAAAAAATGTATATGGGTCGTTCGTGGGCGTAGGATGCAATTTGGACCGTCGGATCGCCCATGCACACAGATCGCATACATGGCCTCCCGCGTCAGCGTCTCTGCCATTTGACATTTTCTGGTTTGTCGTGGTCGCTGACGAGTGGCCTTATTTTTCTTTTTTTTTTTTAAATTTCACCCCATGTTTTTAAAATTTTCTTTTAAAAATACCTTTCTTATTCATAATTCACCTTTTTTCCTCATAATTATTTTCAATTTCATCCATATTTTATTTTTTCTCAATAATTTAAATACAACAAAGTTAAAATAAATTTTTTAATTATTTATATATATTTTATAAATAGAAAAATCATTCCGGGCCAAATTTTTGAGCCGGGGTGTTACATACCAGCCTAACTTCAAGAATTTCTAAGCATATTCTGATACTGTCAAATCTCTTTGGACTAGGTGTGCAAACTCTATTTCCTTCAGATGTTGAAGGTGTTCTAGAAGATACTATGCATTGAACACTGTCAAAAACTATTCCCAAGTAACTAGAGTGGGTAGAGTAGCCTATTTAAGTTGTCACCAATGCCCTACTTTACCTACGAGCATGTAATTGACAAGGACAACCTTCTATTCGAGAACTACTCAAAGGGTCGCGAATGCCTTCTCTATCTCTGGTAACCAGTACTCAACTTCCTCAAAAGTAGATACCTTTATAAAAGTAGATGGATTAAGTCTCTTGTACCTCTCGATGTCGGGTGCATCATGGGCAGAGTAAAGTCATACTGAAAGGGAATTAGATTATGTTGGGGATGGACCAGATAGCCTTGTGGTGGCACCAGATTGTACTACAGTGAAATTGAATGGTACTGTGGAGGAGTTGGGTTGTACCGTGGGGGTACTGGATCCTCTTGGTGTAGGATTGGCTCATATTGTGGCAGTAGTGGAGGGGGATCAGACAACTCCCTTTTCTCCTTCCTAGTATGCTAGACAGAGATGAGTCTCTCGAGTATCTCAAAGAGCCGATCAACATCCTCTCAAAGCAATCCTTCCCAAGCTGCTTTATTTAACAGAGGTCTTCCTCTCCTCATGTACTTTTACTTATATTTCACAACAATGGTTTGATATTCAAGTTGTACTAAATTTACTCTAACCCTATGTGTAATGAATGGTTCCGAGGAATGCGGCTCTAATACCAACTGTAAAGGCCCAAACACCTACTAGGGATTCTGAGAATATAACATAAAAATAGTGGAATAAAATAATACTGAAATTTATAGCAAAAATAATTTAGAGTTTAGGGTTATATTCTTTATACAGTTTACTTAAAATGTTTAATAGGGTTACGACAATGCTCTTCAAAAATTTAAAAGAAAAAGAGTAATAAAGAAAATAAGTGTGATCAATCTCTGCTTGAAACTGGGGAAACGGGGAGGCAATCTCCTAACTAGTTTTCTTGCGGTTCAAGATCCAGGACTTGGTCGTTCTGATATGAAATGGTTAATAATAAAATACGAGCTACACTAATTTAGTAAGAATATCGATGCCCTACCACTGATACAGAAAATTAAAGGGTTGTAGAAAATGTAAAACAACCAATGGAGCTCATTCTTAATAAAACTCGTTGCACTGAAAACGTTAATATTTTTTCAACTTACTTGTAAATTCCTAAATGCAATTTATTAGATAGAATCAGATAGCAATCTACATACATA